CAATTAAGCTGCGAAACGCTGCTGTATCAGTTTTGTTTAAATGTGACAGGTCCATCTAAACAGTATTGATTCCGGCGAAAAGTTCCTAGTACAGAAATATAAAAGCTTTTACGACGGGCCTTATCTCTAGTCTAGCTCATGAATATTCATAAATGGGGCGCCCTTATCTGGGCATTAACACGACTAGATCGATGGAAACTATTCGCGGTTCCTTTGACTATCTTATAATCTGATATCTCTCTTATTTTTGATGCGCGAAAAAAAAAACTGAATAAATTGTTCACAAACCTCACGGGTGCATTTTCTTATAAGGCAAAACAACCTTTGAAATAGGTTAATGTTGTTATCTGAAATATCAAAACAATCTTATAGTTACTAGAAAGTATTTAATAATGCCAATCGCGCATTTATCTAGAAGTATTGTCCTGTTGATTTTTTAAAGTGCAAATATATATTTGCATCTGCACTCTAAAAATCATTCTGGAGTTCAGCGAAAACCGTTATTATAACAAAGATTTACGTCATGTTTTGTTTTATCCCCGCATTACAAAGATCCTGGTTCGAATCAAGGAGATAAAATAAATGTTTACTTACACAAAATGTAAATAAGAAAGAAAATCTTGATTTGATGGTATCGCTTGTCGTGTACATATGATTGTGGTAATTTAACAATATACACATATTCGGCTTTTGGTAGTTTAACCTTGTTGTTGGTGAATAAAACTGATAGTTGTAGATTTGATCACGATTTTGTATTTTATCAAGATAAATAACAATATCATGAAACCTGCTGTAAATTAGAGCTCAGCAGTATCCGGAAATCAAGCAAGATAAGCACCAACTGCCTATACAAAAACCTTTTGGTAGAGGCATTCGAAAATTGGACTTTAAGAATAGGATAGAAATAATATGTGAATGAAATAGCATGTAAAATGTTATATATGCAGTCAGGCCGTAGACCTACCCTGATGGGACATAATAACCCGTGCGATTAAAGCTTTTCTTTTAAACATGCGTGCTTATTTCCAAATCATCTATATTGAAATATAACATATAAATGTATATTTAAAAAAAAATAAAAAAAAAATTAATAAAAAAAATAAGAAAAAATATATGAAAAAATATTCGGATCTGGAATATTCTACATCGTAAAGAGGGTGAAATCTGTAAACGAAAATATAACTTATAAGAGACTTACTTTACAGTCTATATTATTTTTATCGTATAAAATGTTAGTGCAGTATGATTTATTTCCTGTGTAAATTAAAAAAAAAGAAGATTTTCAAATGAATCAACCACAAAATTTTCGTACTAATATTCGAAAGGCTTGGTTAAATATTGTACTTTATTGCGTGAAAACAGTTGATTTCTATACTTTTCTCATTTTTTCTCCCGTTATTTTTAGTGTATAGGCTCTTATCAGTAAAAATATATGGGGGAAATAAATAATTATAACGTATAAGTATACGTAATCGCAGACAATCACGTATTTCATGGTCCCGAAACATTTGAATTTTTATACGCAGGTACGGTGATAACAGCGTCCTATTCCGACATTATCTTGGTGATTTTATGAAACTCTATAGAGAGGTATCATTAACATTTCATCAGATTTGTTAAAATCAGATATAGTCAAATGCGATATACCCCTCCACATCTTTACAGTGATCTGAGTGGTTTCCATGCAATCTTTGATATAATTTTGATGGCACGCGACATCGAAACACCGTAAGTGTGAATCTCATGAATGATCTTTATTACGGAACACACCGAGCTATGACAATAAGTAGTTAAACAAGGAGTGAAAAATCGTGAAATTTTGACAGATAAACCAAGGAGGTGCTGGTTGGAGTGCGAGTGGCTAAACCCTGGTGAAAGTCTCTCCCTACTGTGAAAATATGATAATGGTTAACACCGTCATATTAGATAATGGGCGTGGCATAAACTCTAAAATTAGTAAATAAACAAACACATTATCCTAGCACTTTAACAACAGCTTATAATCAAATTTGTTGTATCTTTTTCTAGAATGAGCGAAGAGAAGAAAGTAAAATAACCATTTATCAGATTAATTTTTGATATGGTGTATTTCCTACATTTTTATAATAATAATAATAATAATAATAATAATAATAATAATAATAATAATAATAATAATAATAATAATAATAATCATAATAATAATAATAATAATAATCATAATAATAATAATAATGATATATAATTATAATTATAATAATAGTAATTCAATAACAGCAAAAACAACAGCAGCAACAACAAAAATATTTGTATGATATCTCTAGTATTTGTTACCGTCTGTAATTACTTTTTATAGATGTTTTTTACTAATGCCCGTTTCACGCTTGAATATCTACTCATATATATTAGGACTCAGGGCATACCGGGATATATTCATCAAGATCCGGGTTTTATTTTATCATGCATAGCTCGAATGATGTAAAACAGCAATCTGCAATCAGCAATATTTATTTTTTTTATTTTCATTGTTTTATTTTGTAAGAATAACCCGAAAACTATTATCGATTATTGACATAAATTTAAGAACATGAACACCAGAATTTGTAGCGCATCCATATTTATTGATATGTGATGTATCACCGAATAATCCAGCAATTACTCTATTTCTACAATTTAGCATATTGTATAGTTTTCCTGTGCGACTTCTGATAAAATTCCCGCCTTTTCTTTACTTGGCAAATTTCAACAGCACCGCATAAATTTAACGATTGTCTGCTATTTAACAAAAATGTCACCAATGCTTTAATAACAAGTCATAATTCATACAAGTATTCGCTGATAGGCCCCGTAGCGTAGTTTCGCTAGAGAAGCTTTCTTCTCGTAGAGGAATTATACAGAATAAGTAAGATTTTTTCCCACATCTCAGCTATAGTACATTGGTCCTTTCTCCAGACCGCCATTAAAAACGCCAAATTGTAAAACTTTCCCATAAAATTATTAATTTAGATGATTAGCGCAACCTAGCATCTTTAACAAGAAAGTGTTATGAAAAAAGTGATGATTTACGACGTTTACCCTGACTTCATGAGAAAAATTATTTGCCACCAATTATCTCACCGTGGCACCAATAGGTTAAGTGGATTTAAACTAACTCGCCTTTTGAACGGGCTTTATTAATAATTCGTTGTGTAGGGATGAAAAAAGACCCTTTTCTGATAAATATACTTTGATCTATTTCTTAGTTATGAATAAAGTGAAAACAAAACTGGCTACTTACTATGTTCCTACCTTACACTGTCTCAAACACCGTTAGATGGAACATTATATATAATTTGTAAAATTTATTAGAACTGTTTTCAATTGAAACTGAAACCTAAAACCAGACATGTTTCAGTAGATAAGTTCTATGACTACTTCATTGGCAAATCTAAAAAGGCAACAACGAAGAAGAAAAAAAAAACAGACAAAAAACAACATAAACAAAAAAACAACAACAAAAAACAACAACAACAAAATAAAAAAAAACAATAAAAAACAACAAAACAAAAATAACTACAAAAACAACAACAACAGAACCATAAAAAAATCAGCAAAATAGCAACAAAAAGAAACAAGCTCAACGGGGAACAATTTCATTGTAATGGAAAACAAATGATGCTGCACATTTATACATGGTCATACTTTCAAATAAAAAAAGTTGGTATTATTTCTTTTATATGAAACATATAAATATCAAACGCCCGATTGCATTAAAGCATTTAATAAAAGAGTTACTAAGCATCACAATGATGGCTACTTTTGTTATTGATTTAGTATTATTACTTTTTGTAATATTATAACGATGTGTGTGCCGGGGTTAGGGGGGGAGAGGGGTCTGATATAAAACAAAAGGAAATACACGTTAAGCCACAAAAAAACATGCAAACGCCTTACATAGTATGCGCATTTTCTTCAAACTATTACTATTTTATTATTTTTAACATTGTTTTTATATATTTATTATCTTAATGCTTTATCAGTTTGCAATGTTTTAGTATATAAATTGAATTTAGCTTTCAGCCATTATGGCGGTGCTTTTATGCTGAAATTTATTTTTTAGCTAATTCAATTAATATAAACAACTTTCCAAAGTTAGTTTAATGTAGTTTCTTATCTTCAATATTAATTCCTCAACGAAATTCAAAGAAATTTTATTTTGATATTATCTTAACACTCTTAGATATAAGTAGTTGATTTTAGTTTCACTATAAAGTAGATTGTGAGATCTAATCAAGTAATCTTTCCCTTATCTGCGGAATTAACACGTGCGCTTTCTTGCTGCATTTTATATTAAAATTTAGAATTATGATAAAATCTGAAAATTTAGATACACTATCAGAACTTGGTTGAAGTGGCTCAACGAAAAGAGGAGCGTGTGTCGAAGAAATACAAGATTGAAAATCATATAAAATAGTATTTCACCTCCAAATAATGATAGAAATGATTAGACATTATCCCTCTTAATATCACCTTAATCTTTTCGCAATAATTCCGCAGGAGATGGCTAACTAAGACGAGCACCTATTGTGAATCTATTGTTAAACGGGACGGGAAACCCTTTGACAATTTGTAAATCGCAGTCATTTTCTGTATGCGAGCAGCCCTAGTGATTTTGTTAACAATAATTGAATGACATAAAAGTCGATCTTCCATTTCCAATAGCATTTCATTTGCAAATACAGTATAGAAAAGAATTGTAAAGTCGTCGCTAGATTTTCAAATGAATGACTGTGATAAATGTACATCCCGCTAAACAATCGACAGCGGAGGGATATTGGCCACGCCTCCCGACCAATCAGGTGCGAGATATTTTTATCATGGCGATCAATGGCGAAGCAATAAGATCGCCAGTATATGATATTTTCTTTAAAATGTTCTGTATGAGTGGCGGTTATGTTGTATTCTAGTAGGGATAGTATTTCGATGAGGGGCGTGTTTGATCTTTATCTCTTCTAATGTCAAAATCAACAAAAGCTTTACAGTCAATGATTGGTCCATAATTTTCACGTCGCGTCGTTTAGCTCTGTAACTGGCGCCAGAGAAATCGCGTTTACAAAATACACGAATGAAACAAATATACATTTGTGTTTAGCATCATAAATACTATATCTCTTGCACTTGAATAAGCTCTTTTGTAAATTTCAAGATTTGAAACTAATTTTGCGATTTGGATTTCTTATATATTTGTACAAGTTTACTTACTTCAAGGACAAGAATAAAGTTTGCGAATTTGGACTTGGACTTTTTACACATGTGCGCTGTGAATTGTTTCATTTTTTGATGTGATGCCTTGATTTCCGATTATCCAGTGAAATTCATCGCAGTATTTCTCTACATATGTATCACGTGACAGACGAAATGTTGATAGCAAGGAGTTGATAAGCCACGGTGTAAGTTAAGGTTCCGATCAGGACAGGGTTTATCTTCACCGTTTAATCACGAGCAAGCGACAGCGATGATAAAAATTTAACCGTGCCGATTTCGAAAAAAGATTTGATACATATCGCATGTAAATCTAGCATCAGATCTTATATTACTTTGTTGTTGTAAATTTGTATCAACTTAGACTTTAGATTTTAAAATAGATATTTTTACTTAAGTGTTATTTCATTCACAGATTTTGAACAATTTAAATATTTGTATAATAATTATACAATAATTTATTCTAAATATGTTTTATAATTTTCTATTTTACAGAAATATACCCGAATCTCCTGGATTATCAAAACAAACAGCAAAACAGACTGAACGCAAAAAGGACAAAAAATTGTTGGATTTTACAAAACACAGAAATAATTTGTGCAAAACGAATGGTGTTAATATATTTATATATCTATATTAAACACTAGTTTTATCTTCAATGTTGACATACATGCCGATCAATATTTAAAACATATTACTTATATATCTCAAAAAATAATTTATTTGAGATTTAGTGTGTAATAAAAAAAAATAAACGCTATGGATATAGCAACAGCAGAACAACAGCACGCAGCCTGGTTGAGACCAGAGGCAAACAGGATGAGTAACGGGTACGAGCCTCCAGTCGGCTTTCCCTCAGAAGACATTAGTGAAATGTTCTCATTACAACATGGTTTTGATGGTAACAGCTCACACATGAACCGTGCCGCAAATTATTACTCACAACACTCTGCACGAGCTATGGCAGGCTACGGAGCCACCCACAGTAAGTTTCACGTGCTCACTTTATATTTTAGTTTTATATATCAGTTTTATTCTAAGATGATTTTAACGTTCACATAAAACTAATATTTTTCAAAATAACTTAATTTAGAAATCTGTTACTGGTTTTTTTATTTTCCCTTATTGTTATTGTATCGTTATTAATACATTTAGAGTGAAAAAATAATTTGAAATTTTGTATAAATTTTATGAACTTGTATCCATTGATGAGGCCGATGATTCCTTGATTGATGATGATAATGAATAAAATGATGACGATGATAAAGATAATGCTAACAACAATAATAATAATAAATCTAATAATACAAAATAATGATGAACAAATCCTTCTTACATGTCAACCAGTATGATATGAAATGAATCTCTAAAATTAGTTTAACCATTAAATAATAATAATGTACAATTTTTTTACGGCCTTGATCATATTAAATTCATGATGACAGCTTCAATTTGGGATTCTTTTAAACCTCAATACACTTTATCTAAATCAAAGACATTGTTGTCTATACAGAAGTATTTGAAGTTAAAAACGGAAGCCTCGGCAAGATTGTTGACTGCTTTAACCCACTTAAACGATAGGCTTATTAAATTTCATTATTATACTATGACATTTTTTTTCTAGTTTGCCACTTATGTAAACCGATGACAATATTTAGAGCTCATGAACACTAAGTGGTTTTAGGGAGCCTGCATGTCGCTCATTTAGACTTGAATGCAGCACGTAATTGTTCGAAACCACTTAATATCTTAAATAATATGTGTGTTTAAACTAACGATAGAGAACAATGTTACAAAGTAGGGCTTAAAGAGCAAGAAAATAAGAGTTATGCTATTATACAATTTTGCCATATAGGTCAGCAATATTTTTTTAGCTTTAATCAGAGGTTCATTTATATTTGTTAGTCATTTTTTTTACTTCCATTGTTATGAATCATTTTGTGTAAGATTTTTTTTGGTTGGTAATTTGAAGCAAATACTTTCAAAAGAATTAATATAAGTAAGAGTACGTTCTAAATAAACTAGCCTGAAATGTGTTTCGAATTGAAGAAAACCACAGTTGTGCTTATTGTATGACTTTACAGTTGAATTAGCTACGGATCTGCATTGTTTCCATGCAGTAAAACTCTCTCTATTTCTGAAGAGTTGTTAAAGTAATGTCTTCTTTTTTACAACACATGCCGTAGAAAATTACACTCACTGTCAGAACGTTGTAAATTATTTTTCTGTCGTTACGCATGATTTAATGCAGAAATTGGTCGGCACAGCTCGCCTATTATTTGAATAAATATTCCTATTTTTTCTTCCTCTCTTTTTTTCCCGTACGGTGTCACCGTGAAAACATTAATTTGTAAATTACGATTTTAAAATTACTTTCTTTTCAATAATTGCACAGTTTATATGATTTCTAAATAAATGAAAATGTTTAGAAAACGTCACAGCAGTTTTACTGTGGTGGTTATTTAGGAACAACTATTTTACTTTATTTATTTAAAATCATTGCGCAGAAACATCTCATGTTTGAAAATATTTACATTCATATGAGCAAGTGGTTTTTCTCAACGGTTTCACGCCGTGTAAATTACCAATCTTCCGCACCTTGGACCGTTTAACATTCGCATGAGAATTTTGAAGGCACTATGAAGTTAAAAGTTATGTATACAGGCGCTCTTATGTCTATTATACACTTAAAACACATTTTTTTCTCTAGTCTTTTACACAGAAAGTGAAACTTTTCCAACAATTTTCTATTCCTAAACATACCGCCTTTTTAAAACAGATACATACTAAACCCCCTGGTTCCAATTAGACCCCAATTAATCCAATAGAACCGCAATTTGCCTCAATTTGGAGCAAAGTACACTGCACGGGTAATTTGAAATAATTTTCTGGAACATTTATCTGGATGTGTTATATTAAGCTTAACAGAACCTTACAGACTCACTTGATAGACCCCGTATATATTTTGTGAAAATGTTATATTGTGTGTAGGAAAAGGTTCACAAATTTTAAACATGATAAAATAAATTTGAAACACAGATATGAAGATTTCTATTTATGCATAGGGGTAATGTAATTTTATTGCGTGTTATAAAACCTTGTAGTTGTAATAATAAAATTTTAACATTTTAACAGTTTAAAGTTCCTGCAAGTGAAAAATTTCTGTATTTTTAGATAAAAGCATTATTATAGTGAAGTACATATATAAAAACACATTTACACCAATCTTGTTGCTACCTTTTTAAAATTAACAATAACCAGAATGACAAAATAAAAGTGGTTTTTAAAGAAAACATTTATCAAATACAAATGAATGACCAGTCCTACCATATTAATATATATCTAAATGGCTAAATAAGTATCATTCTAACTAAAATATTATCTAGTCTATTTTTATTTAGACCCCCAGAGAAACGTCATTGTACGCCAACGCCGATAGATATTAACGAAAAATTGCAGTAACACGAAACGGTGTATTAAATTTCTTTTTCTTATGTCTAGTACACAAACCAAAAAATAACAGCACAAAAAGTTTTTCACACCGTGTTTCTTAGTGCAAATACATATGATTAATATGACTGAATTGTTGCACACATCTAACACAAAATTGAGAGTCGGTTTTATAAACACTAGAAAATAAATAACACAATTTAACCGAAAATACCTAAGGGAAAATTCGTAAAATAAAATTTTCCGAATTGAAAAGTGCAAATACAAATTACACCCTAAAGACAAATAAATAAATAAATACAATTACATTTGTTAAGCGTTCACAGTTGATGTGTAGAATGTAAATGCAAAACAATTACATTAGACAAAAGTAAAATTAAAATAACTGCCAATATCAGACATTCTTTCGTGTTTTATGTTATCAATATTTTATGTTTAGAGAAAAATATAACAAATATTTGCATATTTCATGGCTACCATCACGAGATAACTATTAGGATTTGAATAGCTAATTAGCACTTTTATTAATTCATTTCTATGTCAAAACCTGAATAATGTGTTTTTTTATATTTATCATTTACAACATGAAATATATTGATTGATAACTTACAGATATATTTTATTTTTTGTTTTAGGTAGCAGCAACATATATAGGCCTAATTTCCCTCACCCACTCAATCCCTGGGCAGCCATTGACAGTAAAATGCCAGCACACGCCGGATGGGGCCTATACAACAACAAATCTCTCAGTCACAGTGGTACAACACCCCTGTCAGTGCACCCTGCCACCAGCATAGCTACATCAAGCTCATTTAATTTCCCGCCAACACCGCCCAAGGACGGTACACCGGACAATGTAAATAATAACAATAATAATAACAACACTACGTCTAATTCTGCCGCAAATTCAGACTATAGTTCAGAAAAATCTGTTTCAAAACAAGAAGACCCAGAGGCTGCGGGTCTCTCACCTTTCATGCCACCAAGCACTGGCCACACAGCTCATCCCGTGCCAACGTATCCGTCATACGTAGGAGCGGAATACGGAGGCGGGCTAGGATTTCACCATCCGGGCATGTTCAAAACGTCACCCACACTTTCATCAAGACCAAGACAAAAATCCCGGTCCAGTGCAGGTAATTAACTTTTCTCATTTTCATTTCAACACTTTTTAATTAACACGTCAAGATTTCATTTCTGACAATCCAATTATGACCAATCAACGTGCTTGTAACAAGATAAGGGGGTCAGTGACGTAAAATAATCAAAATGGCGCGTCTGTACAAGAATTAGACATTTTCTTGTCCAATTTTGAAAGGTTCCAGGCATAATTCATAGTTTTAAGCAAACAGATAAGAAAACTACTTATATTCTAATTCAGTTGTCAGATAGACGTATTTATGAGCTGTAGTCCGGGTTTATTATTTACCAAGACTCTTTAGAATAAGGACCCTTCAACATGTATAACTTAAAATACACTTAAAATCTTTTCCGTATGTTGAGTGGCCAAGTACCGGCTGTTTTCCGGGACATCTTTACAATAAAAATATAAGGTCCTTGTAGTGTCAATGCCAAATCTTTCAAGTCAAACATCCATTTATACATGTGTGTCTAATTGAGCCAGTATCCGGACGGACCGAGTGTCCGGATAGACCTTAAATGTGGTTTATTTGCATAAACAACCTAGATCTTTATTTTGCTATGCTATAAAAACTTTTCATTCTCATGAAATGATACATAAAACGTCTTAAGCAGCAAATTCTGTACAGATTAAACATTTTTGTAAAACGGGAATCTTTGTATAGAAAAAAAAGTTCTACAAGGCCACTATGGCGAGTTTAATAAGAAATTAGCGGATTACTGGTAGAAGTCAATGGAAGCTCTGTGTGTAGAGACATATCGTCGACCCTATGTAATTATTGTATTAAATGCTAAATAATATTTTCATAAGGAATTATCCCGGATATTTGACTAAATAACACCGACTGCTTGGCTCGAAACATTCTTTTCACTCTTTCAGAATCAGGAAATGCACGAAAGAAAATGTCTTCTTTAACCGAATCAATTAAAGAAACGGAATGTTTTATAAAAGCGTTTTATGATATAGCTAAAATTATTTCCAAGCGTTTATTTAATCTTTACTCTCGAGGTTTCAAAAAATGTTTTCAATATTGTTATTACATCTTTGTTTTACTTAACCCTTTATAGAGGTTATTAATCATATGCTTTGTAGATATATTATTGCAATATAGCACTTCAAATTGTGCTATAATTAAGTTATTGTCACAGATGGACCATGATAAAAACAAGATAAAAACATTCGGTTGTCTAATTAGAATACGTTAATTGAACGCCATTTTCATTAGATTTATTCAGTTTCAGTCCTCAATAAATGATCGTTAAACTTTTGCATCTTATTTCATAAATGCTCGTTTTTCATCCATTCAAAATGAAGCGACAGATGCCCAGAGTCTTCATTCATACCATGAAAAGAAGGCAAGTTAATGGTCGGACCTTTAATGAACGCAGCGTACACTTTATTTGAAACGAAACCTGTCCTGTGTTTAACATTGTTGTTGTATAGAGAAGGGACGGCAAAGTGTTCAATATGTCAATAATACATTAGTATATGAAGAAATTGTGAAATATTCCCTGCTTAGTTTTTTTTTCCGCACAAACTGTCTCCCGGTGATGTAAATATATAATTAATAGTAAATTGTTAATTATGCTATGTTAGATACGCAGAAATAAATAATGAATACTATTTTCATTTGATTTCGCCAATAAGATATTTAATTTGTGTGGGCTCGCAATTCCTCTCATTAAATGAAACACATGTTTTTGTGTACCTGCTAAATGATAATGATGATAATGATGATGTTGATGATGATGATACGGTGATGAAGATGCTTTATGATCATGATTATATTGATTATGATATGATGTTGTTGATGATGATGATGATATGATCTTGATAATAATGATGATTATAAAGGGCCAAAAATGCTTCGTAAAGATGCAATATATGTTATATTGCACTAATAGTAAGCCAATCAAAATCTTTCATTCATATTTATGATTTATCATAATTGAAACAAGTGTCACACTCATCATACTTGTGTTTCATATTTACAAGATACTGCTGACACGAAGTTAAGATGCTAATACCCAATTAGTTACAATTATCTATAAGAGGACTGGGCGGACCACATGTTTACACCACAGGGTGTCGATTTCCCCGCGCCAAGGGTTTTAACTCGGATAATCCCCTATTGTAAACAACACGTTTTAAGATATGGACACCCGGGGACCCGTCTCCGGACACTCTGTCTGTAGAACTTCTGTTACTTTCTTAGATCGAGTTAAATAATTTACTTAATTCGGGCGAAAATAAAAACCATTTTTCTAAGAGTTGACACTCCAAATTTTCAATCCGGGGGAAATCCGTAAATTATTATCCTTGTTTTATTAATAGTCTACTCAGCCTACTTAAATACTCTCACTCTAACAGTTGTCAATACCTGTAGACGGTGTAAATAAATCTATTTCAGAATTAAGAGAAAAGCGGAGAATTTGCACCATTTCATCGTTATATCCACTTTGTATATACTCCAAAACCAATTAAATTTTGACATTTTGTCTGTTTCTAATTAGGCGAAATGCAGTAAATTGGGAGTAAGTGGCAATTCCTCACTTTCTTCTTGTATTAGAGGGCTTTTCATGCGTTACACAGAATAGACATGTTCGACGGAACATGCAAGGAATAATTTCAAAATTTCTTGAAAAATTAGAAATGCCTACACAACTTTATATTAAATAAAACGACAATGCTGTGTTTTTTTCTGTATTTGTTTCGAATTTTAGAAATATATGACCAATTTAAAAGATATGCTACAATCCCTTATCATTTGATCATATCAAAAGGTTTTTGATAAAAGTCGGTTGAAAGATCGAATGAAAGTATTATGTGGAGAGTATGGCGTTTAAAAAGCAAAATATATTGTTAATTTAAGTGATTTTAGCTAGATTAGATAGTAGATGCAATATCAATAACGTTACATCAGTCATGTTTAGCTTTTTAAAGAAATTAAAAATGTCAGATCTATCACTCTTTATTACAACTGTTGCTGCCCTAAGACAATCTATTTTTTTATCAATCGTGTCAAGCCATTTTACTGATTAAAGCTCTCCTTTCTAAAAGAATCTCGTTTACTTGCACGATTTTTGTTTTGTTGAAGATATTTATTACAACACTAATTCATTGATCTTAGGAAAATTTTAATCTGTGCATACATTCTTAAAGCATTTATAATGCATATTAAAAAGTACACATACAAATCCAAAAAGGCTAAAGAATGGGGCTGATGTCATACATAACTTCAAGGTGTCAATAACAAATTCGATTTTCTGAATGAAAATGTTATCGGAATTTTATCAAGAAAGATAATCTAAAATCTCGAATAATAAAAAAGTAAGATAAAATTGTCATGATCGAAATTGTATAAATGTCGGGTTAAAACCGTTACACAAATTGATTTCCATATTTTAATAAATAATAAAAGAGTAGTTTTGACACATAATTGTTTATTTGATAGTTATATTTGTTGAATATTTCTCTTAACTCTAAACAGAGTTTGATTAATCAGATGAGAAGAGAATATTCTCATTTTGTTTAAGGGTAATACTGCCCTTTCTTTTTCCTAGCTTTTATTCTTTGAGTTCCATAACGGCCTTTTGCTTAGATTCCAAATTTGTTATTGTAGGGTTCTCGACCCGAACTTTTACAGATGTGATGTTCCAACGCTATGAGGGGGAACAAGTAGGGAACCAATCTGCAGGTCAGCACTCCCTTGACCGAATTATGTAACCCCCGTAGCACTACTGTTTTGTTTTTCGTTCATCTTGTGCTTTTAAATATTACATTTTTTCAATTCTCACAGTCATATTTTACGTGTTGATATTTTTGTAGTGATTTTGCACAATTAGTAGAAGCAGGGAACTTATTTTTGGCATTCGGGATTTTTTCTAAGTGTTTTCATGCAATATCGGTGATGGAATAAAAATACGTGTTCAGTATATAAAATAAACTTGGTTTTGGGCGGACTTACACCTCATTTAATCATCGTCTTCATAACAAATCACTGTAAATATTATATTCATCAAAATAAGAAAAACACAGAAACATCTTTAATTGAACGTTTATTTCTTGCAAAACATCATATGCAATACACTCCTTATTCTTGCATTAAAATAATGTCTACAAAAAAAGCATGCGTGATGAAAATATTAAGCAAATAAATTAGAGATTTGATAAAAGAGAATGATCCATTCTTATGATATTTTCAGACTTTCAGATTTTTTTTCTCTCCATTTTTTTACGGGGTTGTAAGAATTGCACATTGTGACAACGTGCAGACTCCATTTCTCAAACGTTTTATGTTTGTATTTTTTCCCATCTTTATTTTTATCATATTATAACACACAAAGCATTAAAAGAAATGCGATATGAAAGATAGATCGGTAAACGTAATAGTAACGTTATCTGAAAACTCAATTAAGCCCTTTACTTATGCATTACCCGAAGTCTACATTATGTTTACTATATTATCTATGTTTACATACGGGGCACTTATATTTAAGACAACATAATTAAACAGCTCCTGGAAAAAAAACTCACACATTGATATAGATCTTTACAGAACCTCATCTTCGTTTAGAACTGTTTTACACGTAAAAAAAAGACATTTAATGTTCGAATTTTTCTAATTAATAGTTCCGTTCTTTCCAGACTTTTCGGTCTTCTTTAATCATTTTTAAAGATATATTTTCTGCATTTCTGCACAGGTGTGCATTGCTTTCAACCCTCCCAACGTAGCCAGTTGTAAATAAAATGCAGTTATTCTGTATACAATAAATAAAATGAATAATTTAATTAAAATACACATCCCCTACACAAAAACAACACATACAACAACAACAAAAATAAAATAAAACTCTGGAAAAAAGACATTGTGTAGCAAGTCATTTTAGGGTCCTCAACTGAAGGAAACAATTATATACTTTAAATTAAAGCACTGCACGTTCTTGAGGTTTTTATATTTTGGTATTCAAATAATTAAATCACGTGATCCTTTAATTTTCATTATGTGTGACATCTCAAAAAGGGATTTTCTTGTGGAAAGGTCAATATTGTTGGTGGTTTTTGGGAGAGTTTTTACTAAATAAAAAAAAAGAAAATAATTAACTTAACAATGAACAAATGATTTATAGATCTATTGTATTCCAGTCAAATTTTACAATCGACTTACCATATCTTTTTCATAAATTGTCATAGCGTGAACGGATAATGTAATTCATTTTTGATTTTAATAAACAAAAGGAAAAAAGGAAAATACTTTGCAAATTTTTCCAATTATCAAGACAGTCGAGTTTTCACATCTATATAACATTTTGATTCATAAAAAAGCTCTCTGTGTTTTTAATAATTAAAGTATCTGCCTATTTTTCCAGAGGGCCGTGAGTGCGTTAATTGTGGGGCCACATCGACCCCATTGTGGAGAAGGGATGGTACAGGACACTACTTGTGTAACGCATGCGGTCTTTATCATAAAATGAATGGACAAAACAGACCCCTCATCAAGCCAAAACGACGCTTGGTAAGTTCCTTTTAATGTAATTTTCGCAGACTTATTTTAACTGCTTTGTCTGTATATGGGAACGCAGACATTGAATTCACATTTAAATCCTAAAACCACCAGTTTATGATAGAGATCTTATTTCCCATGGAAATAACATAGTTTTCTACAGCATAATTATAGTCACAGAGCAGAGACTGTTAGTTTCAATTTCTATTGTTCATATCTAAGTGAAAAGATATTACGATACGTGGAAAGAGATTGAGCATGTTTTAATCACTACGGTCCATTAGTGACCGTCTAATATGCACTGCGCATTTAAAAACAATGCGTGTAATAAAATATCAATAAATAGAAAAGCAAAGCAGATCATGTACACATAAAACGATAGAAACTCTCTCACCGTTTAAAGAGCAAACTTAAACGTATAAAAGGACGTTGATGAAACGCCGGCCCCCGAGGGAGCGGTTGGTTTTTAGAACCTAGTTATAAGCAATTTCTACGTCGCCTAAAGTGGCGGCCTCTGTTTTTGTTCTACAAGATATGAAAGCTTCTGAATTCTTCTCGTACAAATGCGCCGTTATGTAGTAGATCACGAAAACAGTTTATGGAATAAAGATTCACTTGTTTTATGAAAACGCTTCAGTCATAATTTGTTTCTCAACACTTGCCTAAGTGCATGCGCATAAACTATAAAGCGGCTGTCACTTTTTTAGGGTTTTTGATTTAAACACTTGTAAAAGGCCTGTCTGTTCGACGTCATGAATAATGATGTTGAGAAATAAAATTTGCTCGTTTTCATAATTATTTTAATACTTTTTGAATAATAGTTAGATGAAGCTTAAAGCATGGTTTGTATAATATAGGAGTTAGTCTGCAATGAAGATGAAACTTTATCTTATATGAATATGATACACAGATGTGGAATACAAATGAATCGTTTTAATATTAATGACCTTAAAATATTTTCGGAGACTTTCAAATCGCCGTAAGTTTACAAATTCTGACAAAAAATGAATAGAGGGTGTAGAGCGCTCTTGAAAGATAAATTGATGCAAAAAAAGTCCATTAATATTCAGGTTTCAAATTCACACGAATTTTTGTAACATACATAGAGGTTAAATTGCTAAGGCCTTGATAGTAAATGTATTGCAGAAATATGAAAAATTTGACATTAGCGTTTTAGAATCAGCCACATGAAAAATATATAATAAAACTAGTTACACATTTAATTTTATAATGCCGTGACTGGGGCACTGTCACATTTTCTAATTGGTAATAATCACCGTTAAAGGTGGCCGAACTGTCAAAAACATCGGTAAAGCAATAAGTTTTCACTGCCAACAATTCGCGGGGTTTGGTATCAAATTTCTACTTATTCACCATTTTTATGTTTATTGTGCGGTGCCACTTCATTTATACGGCACCTTTGCTAGTTTGCAAAGCATGCAAAACCATCTGGATTTCGACAGACGTGTCATTGGCGTTCTAGTGCGACCATGCATTGCCGTCAAGATATAAATTTATTTCAACCAATTTACAGAATTATGCTAAATTTCACGGAGATCTTGAAATGTCTTTCTCGTTAAAGTTTAATCGTGCCAGATAAAGCTATATCAAGAATCCGACAGTTAGCTTTCACTCCGCTCAAAATGTTGATGTAATATCCATGGGTCGTCATTTTTTTTACAGTTCTAAAATAATTTTGCAGGCTTTTGACTGTGCTACAGTCAGTGGGAGAAACGTGATGGGTTTGCGAACTATATATACATTCCCATATGAATGTTTATTTTCACTACAAATATGCGTCAACAGTGTGCAAACAGGGTTTCGGCGGTATAATAAACGAACTCTTGTATTTCAACGAGCTGTTAAGTTTCTCAGAATTCGTGCTATTTTCCAACATACCGACCGTTCAAATGTAGTCTTTATTACTCATTGTTTATAAACAACGAAACATGTGAGCGTTTCTATAAGTGAAAATGTTTTCGTCTGCTGGTTACAAAGTATGATATATACCGCTCTTTTTTCATTTATTCTATTTTTTGTTCACGTGGAAAGATTTTGTTCATAAACATTATCATTAAAACATATGCTGTAATGCATTTTTGTTTCGCAAATGACGATTAATGAAAATTTATATTAAAGGAGATTATGCATACTTTTGTATTTTAAACTTGAAACTATCCTTGCATTAATATATAGAACTCGAGAATTTGTCCCCATTAAAGTTGAATTATTAATTCTCTTTGAACATTTGTATAAGGGAATGTCTGATACTTATCTATAAAATTCCAATCTGCAAAATCGTTGAATCTTTTTGAAATATTATTAGGAATTATTTTTTTGATCCCTTACTAATAACGGCAGGGAGAAGTCCGCTAGTAAGCAGTATCGTGCAATCTTTAATTAGCTAAAGACCTCTGGGTTTAACAAGGTGTTAACAATATTACCAGGCAAGCGATGGAGAGACCTCGTAACTCGTGTGTATTTAGCACTCAGTCATTAAGGCATTAAAACACGCCTAATCTGTATAATTACATTGATCTAAGCGACGACAGCGACTTCCCTGGTACAGACTAAAACATTTAACTTCCCGCACCGAAGTAATTTCCCACTTTACACATGCTGAACGAACCCGTGCACATATTTCCCGCTCTCTCTCATAAACAGACACTTTTATGAGCGAGTAAATTTTTTTTTGCTATGACTAAATACTTTTTGTACAATTGCGAAATTATGTGTAAAATTTGAATATTTAAACGGGCGTCGGGATTTTATTTTTAACATTTCAGACAAATATTCGCATACGACGCTACGTTACGAAATATGAAAAAAAAATACTGTGCGGTCTGATTTAAGCATATGGGAAATGCTGTACATCACGATTTGTAAGAAAATACTTTAATAGCTTGCGAGATGTTACGAGATTTGATATTGACTTAAACCCTCTATTACAACTCTAAATGTTTGCTCGTTTACAATTTATTTATTTATGTTATTTCTCAGATATCAGCCACTCAAACCTGTAGTCTGTTTCCTAGTTTTCAATTGGGAGTAATACATACAAACACCTGACTTCATTATTTGACAACGTGAAATTATCTTACACCGACACCCATTAATCTGATTATTTATATAACACTTTTCCTCCTGTGTATCCAGCTAATTCAGATATTCTATAAAAGATTTCAATTGAAAAAAGATCAATACGTGTTGTAAAACGATACAAAAGAAAAACATCACTATTCAACGTTTTAGATTATGAAATATTCATGAGCGATTTTTTTATAGAGCATGTATAATTTTTTGAAATAATGTTACATTGTTTTTGTTCTTTTATTTATTTAGAACGCTGTTATTAATAGTAGAAAATTTGTTTCAACAATGCTTGAAAAGTAGTACATGAAACAAGTTAACTCACTCGCCCTTTACAGAACGGATATAATTAGACTAGGCTACATCTGATAAAATGTATTTTTGCCAATTTTTTATTTGTTGTTGTCGCCAAAACCTCCCGCGAATTGAAGCCGATTTTTCAACAGGTGCTAAAACGTTAAACGGAACAGCTGGTAGGCTGAAAACTACACCTTTTACAATTGTTTTTAGAGTAAATAATTATAAGATGTTGAGGCAATGTTTCTCACCTCATTACACCATGTTTTTCCCTTGCTTTCACTTGTATGTATTAACTCAATGATTCTTCTACATTGTATCACAGGAGGGCGGTTAACGACCGTCCGTTCGTGTAGAGAGGTCCTTCAAGAAGATATTCATTCACTTTAAGTTCTTGAATAAAATTTCACGCCATCGTTTTACAATGAACAAAAAAGTCGAACTTTCCGACTACTTTTGTTTCCTTTTTAAAACTCTTTGAATTTCTTGAATTACTTAGCATTTTGGTAAAACTAATATAAATATAAATTGATTGAGCTTCTAACCGGAATATACAAGCATCCGAACATATCAAGCTTAGAATACAAGATTATGAATTTCCCATTTAGAATAACAAACATTTAAAATCGATTGAATAGTTTTAGAGTACCACAAATTCAGGAGACTTCTAAATTTATTCTACTTTAAATGACGCGGGTGCGTGGAGAGACGCGATTACCCTAAAACAAGTAAGCGCAAGCGGTCGTTAAAGCTCATTTTACAACGCATTCAAATACAGTTGATACATGGACCCTTGCGTATATAACGGATGAAATATTTAACCTTTCGAGAACCGAGCAATGAATAATTTAGGTGATTTTCATAAAGATAACATATCATGAATCTCGGCAGATATGGTTGATATTGAACAATGCCGGAATTAAAGCTAGCACCCGTCGTTTAAGATAAGATTTTCAGATTTTTTTCTTGTAGTAAAACGCTGATGTAGGCTGCATGCCATAAAGAACACCGCCTAAAAGATTTATACAAAGTTGTCATAAATTCCACTAATTTAGAATCTTGAAATATTTATTGAATGTTTTATCTTTTCACTGATGACGTCAGATTGCACATTTACCAGAGATTGGGAAGCTTATCAGTTAATCTAGGAAAAAAATCGGGAAGAAAGGCTCGTGCTCCTTCTTCCTATCATATTCTATTTGTTGTTACAAAACCTGTGAATAAAACACTGATGAAAATCTGAAATTCTCTTTACAAACATGAGGCTACGATTTCAAATTTCTGTACCTTAATAAACATATCTAACAAGCGTAATTAGTGTCTCTTAAACTAAAATGTATCTATGTGAATTTCCTTCGTGTGTTGTTGGCAGAAAGTAATTTGAATATTTAAAGAAAAAGAAAAATTAATAAAAACCACCACCGCCATTAAGGACATAAATAATTTACTATAAAATTTGACGGGTAATTTCATGTTAATTACAATTGAATTGTTTACAATTAGAATAAACTACAATATTATACAATACCTAATTATAACATTTCCGATTCGTGTAATGAAGACACGAAAATGTCATAGACATTGCTTACACATTTAATTTTAATTGAAATGTCATCAAATGCAATATTACCTAACTACATTGCTGATTTTTATCACAAAATTCTTTTCTCTCGTTTTGTGTTCGGGCTATTTGAAAGGGCACCGCCTATTCTGTCATGATGTCACAGTAATAGACCGTGACAATAGCCCAGTAACGACTACCCATGATAACATCTGTTTCTCACCAAAGTCCATCGCTGTTCAACATTACAAAAAAGTGTCCCCTGGCTATCTTAACGTACGACGAGTAAATACGTAAATGGTAAATTTGGTTAGTGGCAATACTCTCACTACAAAATATATACTAATTTGGAATGTTTTGCATTTTAGTCGTTGCTGATAAGATCAGCCAATGACATTTTTGTTAAGCCGAATTTAAAGTAGAAGAAAATCTTCAGAAGTCGTAATTACCTTTTTACATATAAAAAACCCCCCTAAAATCAAACGACAACTTAAAGTATAAATGGTAGTTGGTGGGAGGATTGGATGACTTTGTTCTGTTAATGACAAAAATACCCCATGACAAACATATTCCAGTGCCAAAAAGGAAATATGAGAATAAATAATAAGGGTATTGTGATATTTTACGCCATATATTTTCATTATTCCTCGTAGTAATCAAATTATAAAAGATATTGTAAAATTTAAATTCCATATCAATAAATTACTGTGATATTGTTTCACCTTATGATCAGATAAGCCATTCTGTAAACCCGTGGAACTCCAGCACGAACACTGAACAACAAAACAAGACTGTAACCATACACCGTGACAGAAGCCACAGACGTGTACGTGTCTATAGCCTAAGTTTTTTGGCAATTGTTTCTACTAGTTGTCACAAATGTATCTTTCGCATCAAAAACGTCGTTAAATGCTTGACAACCCTATTGAGACCAAATGAATGGAGCTGGCCACTGGGGGAGATTGGAAACTAAGACATTAGATCGTTTACGAAGATGTTAAACAGATAATTACATTATCTCACGAGTTGTTTTTTTTGGCGATAAAGATGGCGTAGTTAGCGAGAAGGGCTGTATTATTTTTCTTTTTGCAGAGTGATCGAATACTTGATAACTACAAATATATATTCTGTTGAAAATTAAATCACATTAAATAGTTATTCACAAATGAGTTAGAGGTATATAGTATTTCACTGTTATCGGAATCATCAAGGGGTATAAAATAAGTTGACTGCAAGGAATTTAAGTATTTTAACAAATCTTCTATACATGTTACATCTCATCTGACTGACAACATATCCTTTTACAGGACAAAAACATCTTCAGTTGATCTCAAGATCAAAACAATGACAATATAATTTCTTGAAATTTAACACTTGATGTAGATAAAATTGATTTGTACATAGTTTTCAATGACCCTTGATATTCATACGGAGGAAACCTATATATCTTAGCTTAAACATAAGGAGATGATATCTTCGCTATCTATTATAGTAATATAATGTTGATACATCAGTTATAAAACATAGGTGTTTTTTTATCAATTCTTAATTTAAAAACTTAATCAACAACGGTTTCTTTGATAAAAAATTTAGATCTAAGTCATAAATAAATTCTTTGATACAGATATTTTTATCACAGTCTATCAAAGTCGTGTCAAATTAAAACACCTTAAGATATAAATACACAGCGGTTATTTTCTCTCTCTTTATTATTACTAGCATGTTTTTTTAATAGAAAAATAACAAAGTTTCTATTCATTCAAACGGCAACATTTTAAAAGTCTAAGAACAGTGAACAAGAGCTGTAGTACACGATCAAGTTTAACATTAACAGATGGTTACGGTTCTTCCCCTAAAATTTTCTCCGTCCTAACCCTTAATTGGCAGGCTTAGAGGAATCTTTGTAGAGCCTCATTTAATGGCTCTGGCAAATAAAACCTTCAATCCTCACTAATACAGGGGGCTTTCTGTGCTGAATACGAGGTGAAAAGAAGAGGCGTGCCTATATTCTGTTTTATGTCTTATTTGACTTCGGTTTAATTACACGAGCCACCTCTATACTAATTGTTATTGCGCTTTTAAAGCCCGGGTGTCTTATGTATTTTAATATACAATAAATCATAATCAAATATGCAATAAATCATGACATTTCTGTTGTGGAGAATTACTATTTACTTATTGACCATTTCCGAATGTAAATGCTTTGTAAATGCACGTTTTTTTTTTATAAAGGTAGTGCATTGTTAAATAATACCTAGCGGTTACAAAGTACTCATATTGTGCAGTTTTCAAAAGTACGTGGTTGTTTTGAGTTCAGTAAGCATTGCATAAAAAATGTACGTTTTTTAAAATTAAATCAGAAAATGATAGCTCGAGGCTGTACAAAACTTTCTTTGTTTATGTATTACATTATACCTTTAATGGTTTTTGAATATTCTCTCTCGGTTAACTTACTAGCTAAGGAGTTACCCAAGGGCCTGTTTTAAAAGCCTATGTTTTAATGTAAACCGTCAGTATATTTTTACTTAATGTTTCTTTCTAACTATGTCATTAACATTCCATAGTTAAAACAAATGTAATGACATATTTCAATGGTATAGGAAAGTAATCGGGGTTTAATGGCTTCATCGAACAGTTTTTAGATGTTTGGAATGGTCTCAGCGTTATTTTAGAGGTTTTAATCAATAGGATGGACAGGCGCCATGTTTTCATCACTTTATATAAGTATTAATTCAATTATAATAGCGATCTTTTCTGTCTTTGACCACAATAAAGTCGCCGTGCCAGACTGACCTGTGTGGGGTAGATTATACAAATTAGAAACAAGTGCCAGTTCGCCAGGCTTGTTAACGTTTTTGATCAAGTGTTAGGTAATGTTGGCACGTCAAATAAGCCGATTAGATTATCAAGATGTAGATTTTAGACCAAGTTATCCTTACATACAACAGCCTGAACACACAATATTTAGTCTATCGAAATAAGATAGGTAGTATTTTATACATCTGTTGAGTTAATCTGAAGATTGACATAAATGATACGAGTTGATTGTACAAATGAACGGCACACTTTCCATAGAAGCGCCGTGCCCTGCGGACAGACGCATGTGGCCAGTGTGCTTTGTAAGCTCTACTCGACCAGCAACTGTCAGATTGTATCTAGTATATCATACCATCTACAAACATCAACAAACGTTGCTGATGATTCGATAAAGCATATACATCATGCGCTCAAAAGACCTAAGTTCCATTAATGTCTCTTATACGTTGATCTTCCGCAGGTAGAATGTTCATAGCTTCTTCCTTAGACAAGCAGTTCACGACACATGTAATTTTGATCGTATGTACTGTGAATCGTACCCTGACGCCATATCGTCTTGCAAACTGAAATTGGACGTGAAATACATTATTTTGAGCCTCTGTGAGGTAGATATAGACACCGCTGTATACAGAGTACTTTACATTTGAGGTTACATATGCGAACAAGAGATCTGACTTATACTAGAAGATGTTACATAGTTTCTCTGGGATCAAATTCCTGGCTTACTCGCCATTGCTAACATTGCATTGCCTGCGTTACAGCAATAAAGTACAGTGTAATATCAAAACTTATGACGGTAATTATGCATAAGCAAACTATTGTAATGAAATTAACTTTACAATTTTCAGCGATGCAGTTTTTAAGACAAAAGTTTATATTAAAAAAAGTCACGAAAACCACTAAAATTTGAATTTTTCCCCTAACGATGTAACATAATCCCCGCGGTGAAGGTAAGAACATGGTATTACGTGAGAAAAGTTGGTAAAATTGTACAGACATTAGGCTAGGAGAAGAACACAGGTCACTCGTAACTTGCCGTCTTCAACATTGCGGTAGACTCGGCACGCAACGTCGCTATACAAACTCACTGAGCTGTCGCGATATAACGCCCTTCATCTAAACACTCAATAGATTCGGATGACACGCCTTTTCGGACATTATACCCAAAATTACAGTTCTTCTTTCCACATAATGAACAGTAGTTTTAATGCATTTGTAGCTATGTTTCCGTCATGCAAAATTGCCAAGTAATTATGTATAATGTTACACGCTTATTTTGTCTTAATGTAAAAATATTAAGGTCAGATTTAAAATATCAAACACTCAATGTATTTTCCAAAAGTGAAATATTTGTTGACAAAATTGTAATAAAATCACTCGCCTTGCCCATTGAACCGGACCTCAAATTTAGGAACTAAATAGCATTTGAATGTGATACTAAAACACCGACGGCAAAATGATCCATACAAACTTTAATTGTATTCTGGTAAATGAAAACGTTGTTCGAATATTAGTTTATTAGTTTCTGTTCAATTACATATTGGAAGCAGAGTTATTTTATTTTGTCGGGATCAAAGCAACCATTTGACACCGTCTGAAAAATATTAACATTAAATTAAACAAAGTTCTGTTACTGAAATACAAATTAGCTATAATATTTCAATAGATGAAAAGAGAGCGAAGGAAAGGAGAAAATATTTGATTTATTTTTTCACGTCTTTGGAAATTGATATTTAGCACACCGCAAAGAAAAAAAATGATTTAAAATGTTTTGTACAAAGCTAAACATTTTCATTAACTTTAATATATTTGTAATGTAAAAATTGACTTTTGAAGAATTGTTTGAAAATATGAAAATCACACATTTGCAATTGGTTGCATATTTTGAAGTATATTATAATTACTTTAAAATTCATGCATAATGATTATATATAAATTACAAAAAATATATGCCTATCAAAAAGCATTAGAAGTTACGTAGTTATCTCATTACGGTCTTATAAATGTTGTTAATATGTAAATGATTTCATAAATGCTTTTTTTAAGCATGTATTTTCAGTATTAATTTTTTCGTTTAAATTAATTCGTGTTTTTTTTTATATTTATATAGTCTGCAGCCCGGCGAGCAGGAACCAGTTGCGCTAATTGTGGAACAACAACAACAACGTTATGGCGACGTAACGGAAATGGCGATCCTGTTTGTAACGCATGCGGACTTTACTACAAACTACACAATGTAAGTGGTTTAACACTGATTTAAATTTATTTTGAAAGAATCTTGAAATAAAAATATGAGTGCAAGTACAATTAATATATACCGCTCTATTTAAAATGCCACTTTTATTAATATTTGGTTTTAACATTTATTTATATATTTTCCATATAATTTTCAATGCAATGCGAAGTTATGAGGCATGTCTATTCGCATATTAATTATGTGATTATATTTACTGATCATTATACAGAGAGAAAAAAAGAAAATGTGTAAATATTCTGTCAGCAATCATTGTGTCAAATATTTCATAATAAAATACACAGGTTAGATCCAATCAAGTCAAATTGATATTTATGAGAAAGAGAGAGGTTCTTCGCGAATGGATAAATCAGAAAATTGCCCATTTATTTAGTACTATTTCATACACTCTTACATTTTGTATATACCGATCAGTCGCATTCGATTTCCGCTATAATTTATGGGCTATTTCAAAATCAGAAATTAAATGAATCATTTCGTGCCGAATAAAGAGTGTCATTTTCCCATTTTTACCCAAAAACGTCATCAATAACTACCATTAATTTTGGATTCGTTCCCGATGAAGAGTTTTATTGACAGTAGTTTGTGAATATAGCTATTCCGGGCATCTCTCACCGTATCTCTAAATCCGTCGAGCGTGGTATAGCCCACAGTCATTTAGGAAGCAATAATTTACAAATATATTTAGTTGACAATATATTTTTTTGGCTTTTTGCTAAATGATGCAGAGACTTGAGTTGATGTATTTTGTAGCTAACATATGCTGGTACAGGACGGTACGTAATTGAATGTTAAAACTCATCTTTCTGAATTCGGTGGTGCGCGAAACGGGTAGGACTGTTGTGGAATACGGAAATTACAATTATCATTTATCACGCGGCACCGCTTTTCCATGAATCAAACCTAAATGAGTGATTTAACGACAATTGGAATATATAGCGAAAACATCCATAAAATTTATGATGTTTTAAAATACAAACGCATCGATTTCAATAGAAAAAATGTTTTATAAATTTTTGCGTGCGCAATGCATTTATAAATGAGTTAATTTAACGAGAATTATATTAAACGGTCTATAAATAAATAAAATATATTTGCATTTTCGTTGTATTAACCTATTTTCTAACTTCCGAGTAAAGTATTTTTTAAGTTAATCATTTCATTTTGTGCTTATGCAAATTTATATTTCTGTGTAAAAATAAAGCCTTATTAAATTTATAGGTAAAGATGAATTTATAGAGTTTAGATATAATTATCATCTATTTTTTAAAAAAGAAAATAATTATCAGTTGAGTTATTATTGTATCAAAAATTTAAATTTCAACCATTTATGTATTTATTTTCTTTTTCGTTTATGCATGCTTAATTTTTTAATTGGTAATATCTAATCAATCTATATTTCAAATTTTTTTCATAATCATTTCCTATATCAGAAAGGAAGAATATGTGAGTTTATTTGACTGCAAAGATGAAACTATTAGACTTATAATAAATTGAGTAACTCGTTTATTTATATTATCATTCTGGTTAATAAATTGTTTTTGTCAGGAATATTTATCTGATGTAGATGGTTATGTGGCCTCTTTAGTAATAAGAGAATGTAAACCGCTTGTTTTATCTATTAGGTCATCAACTGTGTTCACTAATTTAACGCATAATTACACTTGAATCTTGGCTGCTTGTTAAATCACTTATTCTAATAATTAAATCCCCATCATCAGAATTATTACATAACAAGCGCCCCTGTTTTGTATTCAGAATCAAAACTAAATCAATTGCTGCAGAATAGACGCTTGAATTTATGTGAAATATGCACCACTAATTCAATGGTTTCCTATGAAATAAAATAACAACGTTAATAAATAAATAAAGAGTCCATTAAAGAAATAATACTATAAACACCCATAAATGACACCCTGACACGAACATATTTACGGTTGTTATATATTTGTACGAATCCTAGGGCTGTTTTGCCAGGAAGCAGAGTGAAAATCCGCTGTAATATAAATGGCTGATAATGGGTCGATTTAAATGGGGTGCGAATCAATATTTAGGATCAATAATTCAGAAACGGCTATTTTCCAAGTAGCATATCGTTGTCGGACTGAAACCCGGGTTTTAATTATAAAATCGAAACTTTCTGCTTCTTTGTCTGTAAAAACAATATTTCGCATGCAGACGCTTTAGTCTTCATTAGTTGGCCCGTGTACTTGTATGATTTATGGATATGTACACACACGAGCCTTTTAATACATGCATTATTCCAGTGCAACGAGATACTCGGCTTCAATGGTTGAAATTAAAGGTGCGTTCATTTGATCCAGACGACAAAACTACACCATTCACCATTCCAAATTTAAAGCATCATCAGAAACTCCCGCACTTTTTAAGAATAACAAAAGTCGGAAATAACTCGACATTTTTAGAATGTAAAAGACAGGCTAACGATCGTGGTATATTTTTATACATTCATTTTGATCCAACGCTAGATTAGTTATTATATAGGATCAGTGATTATCATGTAAAATCGATCAAGAGATATGATCTTATGCATAAATATATGAAAACACTTCGGGTTTATCTCGAATAGATAGAGCTATAAATTGTCCTTATTTATTGAATTAATAACCATTCTGTCGTTTTCATTAGTTTCGAAACCTTAAATATTCATTATTATTCGGAATTGAAATTTGTTTATGATACGGATGAGATTATTATATGAGGGACTGAATCTGACGTGTGGCCTATCCTAACGTGTTTGTTATTTTTCCAAGCATCCCGTGATTCAGATTGTTTCTGTTTCACCTGAAGATTTACTGTAAACATTGTATCATAGATCAATTTCCGGTTATCTTCATCATTAGTTCAATGAACCTTGACGTGTTTTGTTTTCTCCCCAAATCGAATATAGACGGTTCATTTAACATGTTCCAATCTCAATATCGTCTGCTTAATATTTTCTGTAGACATTATTATTTAATTTAGCTGTAATAACCTAACGTATCAAACTGCTAAAAGAACAGGCGTATAGAATTACAAAACAATTTATTTATTTATACTTTGTGCGTTAGTTTATGTATTGAAGTGAAGCTTTCAAGCTTTTGTGTTTTAACCGCGAAATCATATTACTTATTTAACTGTAAAGCACCCTTGAACTAACTTTTAAAAAGACAGACATTCGTCGTTCTGCATAAACTTGACGACCTCTCGAAGGTTTTTGACATTGTAAGATTATACGTACTTTACAAGAAATATCAATTACTTAAAATACTTGAATCCCAGTATCTATTATTCTTTGATCCACTTCTGACGTTTGGTTCATTTTTTTTGGATTGTGGCAGATTTAGTCACGGCGTTAAAATCGCTTTTGCACGACCAAATTTTGGTAATTCGCTTGAGGTCAAGTTTTCATAATTCTTTCTGTTCTAATGACATTAATTAGAGAATCAAACTTCATATTTTCTCATTGTTTAGACATCAGATTTTATCTTAAGCATGTGTCAATACGCAAAATGGAGGAAATAATACACAAGTCATTGAAAAGATTATAAGATTTCTCAGTCAGTGGAAAGTTAAAAAGTCATTCAGTCTAAGTATAATATAAGTAAGGGAATTACAAACGGCACTAGAGAGGTTAATCTTCATGTTGTCCCAGTCAAAATAAAGACCTGCTGCCAACTAGGTGAAAACGGGTTCATGCAAAATGGCGGAAAATAAGAAAAAGCTACTTGTGACACGTTTTTAAAAACTAAATCTAAATATAATATATAGTTGAACTTGGTTTAGTGACCACCTGCTTGTAATCTTACTTAAACTGGCCTAAACTGATCTTTATAACGTTGACCTTTAACATAAAAGAAGGAGATTATCAAAATAATAGTAAAACATTAAAAATTCAAGTATTGACAAAACATTTCATCCAATTGTTTTGAAATGATGTTTAATTTTTAAAGTCATTTTATTGCTAAAGGTGGGAAGCAGATACTGTGCATAAATAATTGGTCTATGGAAGGTCGTTGACTATTTTGACCGTCTTTCACTAAGCTGTTCGCAAACTACCTAAATTGTAGGGTTGTACGTTTTCACGCCATAAAAATTCAACATAACATGTTATTATGGTGCTCATAAAACGCAGCCTTTGTGGCGTAAAATAAGGAAATGAGAGTAAATATTTATAATAGGGTAATAAGATTCAACTGGCACCATGGCTAGATTGTCATGTAATTTCTTAGTAATTGAAATGAATACATAGTAATTACGAGTGGACACACTGAAAATTACGACATAAGAAGTATGCAAATTGCGGACATTTTTATGACATATAAAATATTTTAGTTGAGTTTTATGTGCAATATAGGCGTTAGAGTATACATTTTCACGGATAGCGTTCATTGTACTTTAAATGCACTAAAATGTTAAAACGGTGATGTGTTGAATTTAATACGAATATTCGAATGGGAACCAAGTATTGCTATCTGCTTGAGTCATGTTAAAATATTCGAATTTATTGACAATTATGTTAAAATATTCGAATTCATTGACAATTTTAATGTAACACCATAATTTCCTAGATGAAGCTCATGATTTTATAATACCAACGCGTTTTTCTTACTATTGCTATTTTTAAAGTAGTTTAAATTAAAAAAAAGATTAATTTTGAAGCATATAAAATAATGAACCATTCCATTCTTCTATCAATAAACCATATATACATTTAATTATCATCTAATTGTTCAAATAACTCCACACCGTTTGGCGTCAGGTGATTATATATACTGATAGATTATTTCGTCCCCAGACAATTTCGACCACGTTTTATAGTTCTGTGTTTAATAATTCACAGCTTTAATGCGTGCCTGAAGCACGGTTCGATTCACGCTTAGTCTCTGGTTTGTTGTTGTCTCTGCCATAAATATTACCCCTGATTGTCAGGTCTATAGCTATATGTATCCCCGGGGGTCACGTTTCGTAAGGAAGGTTCG